ATAGATGTCCTTAAAAGAATAAACCAAGAACGCCAACTTTTCGAAACCATCAAGAAAAGGAAAACGGCGTATCTAGGTCACATCATGCGAAATGAAAAATACCAGTTCCTCCAACTTATAATCGAGGGTAAAATTGAAGGCAAGAGAGGAATGGGACGCAAGAAAATGTCCTGGCTCCGAAACATAAGGCAATGGACAGGGATTAACGACATACAATCTCTGATACATATTGCAAGAAATAGAGAGTTAATGGAAAATGTGATCGCTAACATACATTAGTGGATTTGCATCTGAAGAAGAAGAAGAAGATACCCCAAGGAAGTATCCTAAGCCCAATATTATATCCTATTTATACTTCGGATATAGGTAAAAGCGTAGTAAATAGTAACTAAGGTAAAGTACTACAGTTTGCAGATGACATATGTATTTACGTAGACCAAGAGGAGGTAGAAAATGGTTGCAACATGATAAATGAATTATTCAATTATTTACTTGATGACTTGTATCAGATAAATTTAACAATATCTGTAAAAAAACACAAGTTTTTATATTTTCCAGAAAACAAAAACTTCCAAAGTTATCTTCCTGGAAAGATCATATTGAATATGTTGTGACAAGAGCTGAAAAAGGTTATAATGCATTTGGCAGTAAGTCACATAACTTAAGGAGCAGATGCTAATATTTCATTAATAATGTACAGATCATATAATATAAGATCAATTTTAGACTACGGATGCATATTTTACAATCAAGTAGCCAAAACTCACCTAAAAAACGTAGAAGTGTTATGAAATAAATGCCTTCGATTATGTATCGGAGCTCTAATAAATACTCCGACATCCAATTTAAGTATAGAGTGCAATGAAACACCAGTGCATTTAAAAAGAAAAACTCTATGCGAAAAGTTTATAATTATTACCATTGCTAAATATAGTTTAATAGTGGATAAGTGTGAAAAACTTTTTATACATGATCTAACGAGTGAATACTGACAGAAAAAACCTACTTTACTACTTGTTCAAACCTACAACAACTTGCGCCAATTTAAATATAAATTATATTCATCAAGAATATCACCCATATTTCAAATATACCTAAATAATCAAATTCAAATATATCTAATATACAGCCAATTTATATGAGAGATTTTTTGAGTTTCCCAGTGAATATAAGGAACTCTACGTTTAATAGAGATATAGAAACACTATGCCCAAAACATTACCAAATATATACAGATGCCTCACAAATTAACTCTAAGGGGGGGCGCCCACCAAAGTGGCGTGGCAGTGGCAAGTAGCAAGTAGCACGCGTCTGGCATAATGTAACCAATGAAAACGGATGATTCAGTTTACACCAAAATGACAGTAACGTCATTCATTCTAATCATTCGTTAGGATTGGTTACATTATGCTAGACGCGTGCTACTTGCTACTTGCCACTGCCCCGCCACTTTGGTGGGCGCTCTCCCTTAAGTTGCTGCTGCCATATGACACTAAAACACAATACAGAGAAAAAATAGATCTAGATACAGATACGACGATATTTACAGGAGAACTAATAGCAATATTCAGAGCAATGAAGTACATAGCAACGATCATAAATAATAATTAGTGATACTTTCAAATAGCAAAAGTGCTCTAACTAAATTGGAGAAGTGGACAAAACATTACAATCATATCATTATAAAAATAATAAAAAACTTTATTCGACTCAAATCCAAAGGTAAAGAAATATCATTCTGTTGGATAAAAGCCAATTGCAGTTTAAAAAATAATGAAATTGTAGATAAACTAGCAAAGAAAGCTACAGAATTACTACGCCTATGCTTATATTAATATTAATAAAATTAACAACTGGAAAGAATAGTGTAACAATTCCAAAAAGTAGACTTTGGTTTGGTCACTACTTAGTTCCACAACATAAACATTAAATAGGACTGTCAGACACAAACTGTTGCGAATGTGGAGAATTAGGATCCGCAGAAACATATGATATTAGATTGTAAATTAAAAAAAAATAGATTATTTTATAGATCAAATTTATATTACACAATATATAAGAAAACCTTTTAATCTACAAGCTTTAATTTTAAGATAAAAGTATCTATGAAATCCTAGTTAAACACATTACTAATATCATCGAGTTAGAATCTATGGAGAGGGCATCACGTGAATAAAAAACGACCTCACTTCGGCCATATTGTTAATATTGTTTTGACACTTTTGACAGATCATATATGTTTGTTTACATTTGTTGTTTTTCGAATATTTTTAGCTTTATAATACTTTTATAGAAACTGTAATATATTGTGATAGTGCATAATAATGGTTTCTTGTTCTCAACGTAGTTGTAGTAGCAGAAGCAATGTTAATAAAAAAACTTCAGGAATATCGTTCCACAGGTTAGTACACTTATATGTTAACAAAGTAATGGCCCGTACTTCAGAGAATAAATTAATAGTATTTGACTGCATTAATTTATCTTTATGTATAATATATCGTGTTTTTAGTGTTTACCGCGGAATAAATAAATCATAGTTTATTAAAAATGTATTGCACTTTTTTAGATTATGAATAAATCTTCTGAATAACTAGTCATATTTGTAGAGTAGTTTTAATATTATTGAGTCTGGCCCTGATCCCACCGCCATATTGGTATTATCGTTAGCCACGCCTACCTACGCCGTTTTTAATACATATTTTAATATGCTCATAGCTTCTCCATAGATTCTAACTTGATGATTAATATCAAAGTAAAATTGTGACATTTTATATAAGTTAAAATATAAATTAAAATTAAATTAAAATAAAAATAAAAAAAAACACAAAAAATTTCTTTTAAAAAATAAATAATTAAATAATTAAAAAAATAAATAAAAAAAATAAAATACGAAAAAAATAAATATAAAAAATTAAATAAAAACACACACAAAGAGGGCCTTAACCTCGGAGGTGTTGAACCGGGTTTATGCCCTAGCGCTGTGTAAAAACATATAATTTTATAGTTATTAGTAGGTAGTATTAATATTTGGTATAGCATGTAGTATTTTTTGTCTAATTCTTCAACAAAAACAAAAAAAAACGCTCACTGAAATATATATGTAGGTACCTGTATAATCTACGTGTGAATTACTATTGTAAATCATTATTATCAAATAGGTTATAAATATTCATAAATATAATGAGTATAAGAGATATAAGAGTAATTTTAGTTCGGCTATTAATGGATTAAGTCCACAGTCAAAAGAAACCAACAGCAAACACACATAAATACTTAAGACAATAGTAGATAGCTAAGACAATAGTGGAAATGCTCACTGTATGGCTCAGAGACGAGTGACAAATAAAAGAATGAAAAACACAATAAAGGCAATGAAAATGATGTTTTGGAAAGGGAGTTGCACATAAACGATAATTAACAAAGTAAGAAAAAATTATAAAACTAATAAATTTGAAGGAGACACTAAATGACGAGATAGAAAAACGAAAATTACTCTGGTATGTGAAAGATGGACGAGACATAAATACCACTAAGCACTCGGAAGTGGAAACCAAATAGAAAAAGGAAAAGATCATGTCCTAGATTATAGTGGAACGGAAAAATAAAAACAGCAATGAAAACGGAGACCTCACAGAAGAGGATAAATATAAAAAGAAGAAATGGCGATTTGGATGTGATAAACGGCAAACAGAATATACTGCGTAAAGTAAGTAAGCAAATATAATAATTCTAAACAAAGTGTAGGGAATATGCAAAATATATCTACAACCAAGGATTAGATGGAAATAGAAAACGAGAAAGGTACAGAAAAATATTTTAAAACCATATGAAGCAAACCTCTAAGAACATGCGAAGGAAGGTGTACGAAACTGTACACCTTAAAACAGGACAAAAATCAGCAATGAATTAAAACTGATCCTGGAGCAGGTCATGACTAGCAATGGCGATGATAATATTCCTTCTAATCTGGGTTAAGTTTAGAGATTTATATATCATTTAGACCACTTAGGTATTCTAGATCACAAAATTATCTAATTTAACCTAGAAGATAGTATTAAACAGATTTATATCCATCTATATTCGGGCTTCTAAAGCGTACTTGCTCTTCGGGTAAAGATCTATGGAAGAGTAACACCGAGCCGCAAGATTTAACTTGTTGCTGTGCTGCTCATCCGTAGATCGATCCGATACACCAGAGTACTTATTCCAGTCTTAGTAGCATGTTCCAGTCATCATATTACAATATATTTTCTTTAAGTTTCTTGTTTTTAACTGTTAACTTTTATAAAAATAAATCACATGATATATTTTTGTATCTGCTTAAAATAAATACAGAAATTCATCAATTAATAAATTGCCCACTTGCAAATTTAAAACTATAAATAATATAAATTTCTGTTTTAAATAATTAAAGTATTGCTGATTAATTTAAAATACTTTATATATAGCTCCCAGGTAACTAAACATTACAATACACTCTATGAAGAAAATCAGCTGAGAACAGTCCGGCACTGTCAATTAGATAATTATTTCTTTATCGATTTTTTCTAAAAATACTCCCATTTCTATAAAAATACATCATTTTACGAAGTAATTTCTCTCACAATCGGAGTCTGTCAATGCCGATAGTGAGGTAAGGACCAGGATTTTCCGAAAAAGTCGCCCCTCTTACAATAATATGATTTCGTCAGTCACTTGAGTCTCCACCAAAAGCATGATCCAGTAATAAGTTAATTAAAGTCGAATTGAACTTCTTTGAAGGCAAGGTAGTACGATAATGCATGTGGCGCAGGTGAAACGACTATATCGAATGTGACCGCTGACAAGTGTTAAACCATTTAATGATCTGTGATTTTACTTAATGTACTTTCGCCTTTTTGATGAGAATTTTTTATTTTTAGAAGAAACATGGGTAGTGTTTTGTTTTAGTAGATGAGATAATAACTTTAATTTTTCTGTGAATTTTGGCGGGAAATTTTATTTAAATTATTTTATTTTAGGACTGGATTTTATTGAAGCTCAAGGTGAAGATTTTGAAAGGGCTTTAGATCAAACTGGTAAGTGCTATTTAAATTTTTTTTAAATTTGTTTACTGATTATCTAATAGGAACGGAATAATAATATATCGTCTTTCCTGTCTTTAAATAAATTTGTTTAAAAAAAATTTAATCGTCAAGAAGCGCAGGTATATTACTGCTGATTTTTTAAAGTCTTGTTTTTTTTTTATTAATATTCTTGCAATTATTTTATTATCAGGCCAAATAATTTATATTTTTTGCTATTACAAATCATACGCCTTAGAGCATATTTCATTTTTGTAATATTCAGTACAACCGCTCTCAATTAATTTGTTTTTCTTGCTACGTTAACATTTTCATTAAATCCTTAATATCATAAAATATTTCAGAATATTAAAATATTTTGCTACATGTCGGTTGATAACGTTTGCCGCCGTTGTCCAACTTTCAATCGCCACTTGGTTTGGTCGTTCAACGGATTCTCTTATATTTTTCTTTCTCTGATCTCTTTGTCTATTCCTTTTCCATAATTTGTTCTCGGTCTACCTCGTTTTCTGTTGCCTTCTGTGTGCCATTTTTGCATTTCCTTTGGTATTCATTGTTCATTCATTCTTTGTAAATGTCCGAACCAGTTAAGTTATTTTGTTGAAACGTCAACTGTGATTGTTTGATTCCTAAAATTACTTTAATGCGTTCGTTTTTATTACTTTCTTATCTAGATCTTTCTGCCACTCTTCTCCAAATGTCCATTTTCGTTGCTCTCAGCGTTGCGTATTTTAGTGGCCATACCTCATAGCTGTATAGAGTGATACTTTACACTATAGTCTCATATATCCTCTTTTTATTTTATTTTTGCTGATGGATTGGTCCAATAAAGTACTGTTTAATATTGTACTAAGTTTTCTTTTCTACCTATCGTATTTCTTTCTCTTTTGGCTTTATCTAATGGCCCACTGCGTAAAATATTAAGATAATTGCATACCTAGACTACAAATACCTGAATACCTAGATGTTGGTAGTCGTAGCAATGCTTTATCGTAGTACAAACCAGTTTTTTGCACATACAGTTTAAATCATCGTAATGTTTAGCCACTATTACTTGATCGTCTGCAAAGATGAGTGTATACCTTTCTAAAAATGATTAACATTTATCGTTTATAAACAAGACATGTTCAAGAATAGAGCGAAAGCAACATAACAACTTAGAACAGGATCCTATAACATTCAAGAGAAATAATAATACGAGGAAATTAACAATACCATACATAAAAGGATCATCGGAAAAATTTTACACGATAGGAAATAAATTCAACATTTTAACAAAGTTCAAACAACAAATACTGAGAACTATTTTATCTAAAATTAAACCTAACAACAAACAAGAAAGAAAAAGAGTTTTTTGTATAAAATATCTTATGAATGCGAACAGTTTTTATTTAGGAGAAATATCAAGACTATTAATCGTACTTCAATACGTGAACATCAAACTTATATTTAAAATAGAGAATTTGATAGATCTCAAATGTATAAACACGCATGGAAAATTGAACATAGAGTTCAGTGAAAAGATTCAAGTATAAAGCAGAATGCTAGTTACCCATATTAAAAGAGAAAATTAATAGAAAGAAAATACCACTATTAGTAAGTCAAATAATACATCGAGGATACATCATTTATATTTTAAAATGAAATACATATAAAATCAGAGTTTAATGTTAACATTAAGAATAAAAATAAATTTAAGACCAAATACTTACCATGTCTGACTACTATCATGAGGTTTTTTGGTTTTCCTTCATGATGTACTACGGGATCGCTAACAGTAGAACTATTATCTTTCAGGCAAATCAGATGCTATCATTTTTCTCACGGACATTCTTAAGTTAAAATTGATTTCATGTAATCTAATGACCCACTTTATAATAAAATGGTCACAGAAACGCAACTCAAAACATATTGGCAATATCATGTAAAGTCATCTATTTACTTTAAAATGTATAACATAGTATGTCTGAGTTGTCAATATGAATAAGTCAGATAAAATTAAGTTATTAGAAGGATTTTTACCAATCAACAAAAACCAAATTTGTTTAATTAATTAATGTTTGGTATTTTAAGAACGATTTCGAAGTGGAAATCGAAACGTCGAATAAACTTAAATTTTAAGTAAAACTGTGGCTTATTCCCAACAAAAATAATAAATTGCATTAAGTTGCCACAAGAAAATGGCATTAGTAAATTAAACAAATTTTGTTTTTTTGTTACTTGGTAAAAAATTCTTCTAATAATTTAATTTTATCTGACTTTAAAATGATATTGCAAATATTGTTGAGTTGTGTTCCTGTGATGACTTTACTTAAGTAAGACAGTTCACTCGATTACATGAAATCAAATTTAACTTGAAAATATCCGTCAGGAAAAAATCAAAGTATGTAATTCGTCTTTAAAAAGACAACCACATGCCATGATGGCATTAAAATTCTCCTGTTAGTAATTCCATAGTAAATTATGAGGGAAAAACCACGAAAAAACCTCATAATACTATCCCGACATGGTAATTATTTGGTCGCACATTTAGTTTACTTGCAATAAACACCAAATTCTGATTTTATATGTTTGTTAATAAAAACAAAAAACATATATGATGAATTCTCCATATGTTACCGACTTACTAATACTGGTATTTTTCTTTTAATACTTCCTATTTTAATATGGGTAACCAGATCCTACTACATTCTGAGGAGAAATTTGCGACACAATTGGTCTCATTTACCATAATTAGAGCCGCTTCTTTAATTTTTCTCTTTTTACCATCCGTCTCTTTTATAACTATACTTGAATCATTCCATTGAAGCCTACGTTCATTATCTCATGCGTGTTTGCATGTTTGAAATCTATCAAATTCTTTATTTTCAATATAATATTGATGTTCACTTACTCTAACATTTAATGGCCTTTATGTTTCACCTAAATAAAACTGATCGCATTCACAAGGTATTTTATAAACACAATTCTTTGTCCTTTCTTGTTCATTGTTAGGTTTGGTTTTAGACAACATAGATCTCAATGTGTTTATTGTTTAGAATGTTATTGAAATGTCGAATTTATTTCCTATTCATAGGAAATTTAAGTTTTTCTAATAATTCTTGTATCTATGGTATTGTTATTTTTCTCGTATTATTCCTTGTATATGCTAAGGATCTCGTTCTAAGTTTTTCTGTTCTATTCAGTCGATTGTTAAAAACTCCCTCTTTATAAACGATAAAGCACAATCATTTTTTAATAAAATAGATGTTAACAAATGTTTTACATCCAAGAACAAATTTTCCTTAGAACAAGCAATTTTGGCTCTATTGTGCAAGAATTTAATGATTAGCATTTTAAAATAAGAAAATGGCTTTAGAACAATATTAAATATTGTTGCTTTTATTTGATTTTCCTTCCTATTTCATTAATTTTTCCCCTATTTTGCTGTCCCATCATACCATTATGGATTAGTTATTTTGGATTTTACGTAGTATCCCATTGCTTCAAATACTTCTTCGTGTTAAATATTTGTATAATCGATCAATATTTTAGAGAAGGAATTTTTTTTATTTATCTTTCGATCTATTTTTAAATAATTTTTGGGTATTTTCTTGATCTAGGCTTTTAATATTATATCTTCGTTCGTTTAGATTTTTTTTCTTGTTTATGTATATATGTGTTTCTCTCTCATATCTTGGGATTAGGAAGTAGATTTTAAAACGTAACAAAAAATGATGGCGCTTCTCTTAACTCCTACATCTTATACTCTCAGTCGAGTTTTTCGTTGTTACAATATAATCGGGTATTGACTTTATGTTTTTTGTGTCTTGAATACGCGTATAGCTGTGTATTAATTTATGTGGGGGGTATCTGTGATTCTAATTGCATAAATTTATTAATCTTTCACCATTGTTATTTGTCATATCTTCTTCGGATTTTGCTACTATTTCAGTTTCATTTTTTCATCCTATTCTACTATCGTCTATCAGACGATAAGTATTAACTTATTTTGATTACTTCTTTGTGAAACTGTTTAAAAATGCGTCTTTTAGGTTGATTATCGTGTCGCTATTTATTGCGTTTACGCACATAACTGTTGTTTTTATCCATGAAGACACACTTTCATTAATCTTTCATTTATGTTAATATGAACTTTCTAAGTATTTTGTGACTTATCAAAGAAATTCCCTGTTGAGCTCTACAATATTTTGGTAATCCACTGTAGAAATGGTCGAATTTAACTAAATTTTCAGAGTCTATTTCTATCTTTTTTTATTTCATTATTAACTGCTATATATTTTAAGTTCTGTTAATTCATGTAAGACTTCATTTTTTTTATATACCTTGAACGTTCCATATACCAAAAAATCGTATTCTTTTTCAAAGCTTATGATGTCTTTGTTGTTCTATCATATTTTGAGGCGTTTAGCATGTTGTTATACAAGTTTTATAGAGTTGCCCAATGGCTTAATCTCCAACCTAGGGGACCAGGCGTTTGGATTCCGTGGTTGGTATTTTATTTCATATCTACACTCGGAAACTTCCGTTAATAGCATTTCCCTATCCGTCTCTGGGGACTAATATAAAGCCATATACAATTCGTTCATGATTCCACAGCGCAATCTTATAATTACAAAATGTATGTATCCTATGAGTCATATTTTTAGTCTATGATATATTATTTAGCTGCTAAATACCATTTTAAGTATTAAACAACAGATTGTTTAGTCTCATTCAGCTTACCACACTGGGATATAAAAAAGATCTGTGATTGGGTATACCTTACATCAATATTTTAATCCAAAAAGGTACTTGCTTCTAACGTGAGAGGAGACAGTATGGAAGTTAAGTGAGAAAGATCATTCTCTTGTGAAAATGAAGGAAAACAAAATAGCAATTAACATGGATCTAAAAAACTAGCACAAAGCATAAATAGAACTCGGACAACGGCAACGAATTTGGCAAAAAATAAAGGCAAGATTCAATTAATCATTCAATCAATCAAAAATGTC